CCAAATCTGAAAATTTGAACTCTAGATATTTAGGTAAATGTGCACGTGATTTCCTTACTCTCCCTATCACTTCCATGTCAAATCGTGCGAAATTCATTTTCGATTTTCTCAAAAACTGTACGGTAAAAAAATCTGAAAAAAATTCAGGGGTTCATAGATCAAGTTTTTAAACATTGTGTAAAAGTTTAAAGTAAAACTGAAAATTAGAAAACAATCGAGGGTAATACCTTAAGCGTGCGTGAAAGCGACAATACGTAGTATTCGCAGAATTTACAAATTTTAAACACACAACGTATTGTAAACTGTGTGTGCGTCTGTGTGTGTGTGTGTCTATATAAAATATAATGAAAAGAATTATAAGAATTTTAATTAAAATCTAGTTTTTTATTTTGAGGACTGTTACAAGCAAACTCAATATAATGTTGAATTTAAAATTGACGTTGACTTGTTGACTTGGTTTTGCGGAATTAAAAAGAGGAAACAATTCACAAAAAAGGATATCAAAATTGAATTTTTAGATGGAGATCTATTTTCGGAAGTCGGAGACATCACACCGGCCTTGCCGCCTAAACAGTCGGCATCCTCGACGCCAACGGGATCAATTGTTATACCGAGGCCGCCGTCACGGCGAGGAGACGGTCCTTCGCCGCGTGGCAGAATGTCACCGGCAACGATATCTCGTGCCGATAGCGTCGCCAGTTTGGAATTTCGCACAGCTGGCGTGGGCGTAGGCTCTTCGCGAGGACCGTCTCCGCTCACAATTGGCCTAGCCGATACCATTCCGCTGGCAGTAGCGTTCCACGAAATAGTACATTCCTATTTCCGCGGCACCGATGAGACTCGGTGTCAGGTGAAGCTTAGCGGCGACATGATGCTTTCGTTCCCGGCCGGCATTGTCGCAGTGCTGGCAAACAATCCTAATCCCGCTAAACTGACCTTCCGCGTAAGAAACACCAATAGGCTAGAGAGGCTGTTGCCAAATAGCCAGCTCATCAGCATGTAAGTTTATTATTTTGGCTAATCGAGATATATATATACCAATTGTCGAGATGATTGAGAGAGATGATTGAAGAGAAAATTTTATTGGAACACTTGTGCAGGGATGCGACGCAAACTACCGTTGACAGTACAATCTTCGAATTCAACATGAGTGCCTTAACTACGTTGCTACGGCGACAAGCTGAACAGAATCCTTCGGCCTCGTATTTCAATGTAGACATTCTCAAGTACCAGATCAAAGCGAAAGAAGGTGCCGGCTCCTGTCCCTTCCAATTGGTCGCATATTGGAAGTGCGAATCGAATCACACCGATCTCAAGGTATCTCATTTATTATGATTATTTTCATTTTTTTTTTTTTTTTTTTTGCAACATAATTCTTAAATTAGATGGGAACAGTAAATAGGTTGTTTATTGTATACGCTATGCAGATTAAGTGGATTCTATATGAATCCACGAGAAAATTGAATTTTCAATTCAAATATAATCATGTATATTAATTTACATTACTAAAATTTATATATATACATGTATATATATAAATTTTTTTTTCTCAGTGTATATCGGCTCATATTTGCCAGATTAAAATTCTTCATTATAGTTTAAAACTATATTAACCTTAATTTCATTGTTAATATTTGTTTATTTTCATTAACAAAAGAATTTAAAACAAAACGACTTCATTTTTCTATCTTACTTGTGGTAATTACAAATTCAATTGTTAATTCTAGATTGATTATAAATACAATAGTCGCGCCATGGCCTCACCGAGTCCTCTGCTGAATCTCCACGTGGCAGCGCCCATTGACGGCGGTTTTAAGTCGCTCAACAGTAAACCGCCGGCTCAATGGTTATCCGAAACAAATCGTGTACTATGGAAATTTACGGAATTGTCGCAGCACAGCGAGAGTAATGGGGTAGGGTCCTTGAAAGCGCGAGTCGAACTTGAACGTGGGCCAGGCAATCAGGGCACGATATTCACTCAATTCAATTGTGAGGGGACCACGCTCTCAGGTGTCGAGTTTGAGCTTATAGGCTCGGGATACAGATTGAGCTTAGTGAAACGAAAATTCGTATCCGGTATGTTAATAATTTGAACAAGTATTAGTAATTCGTGAAAGTTGATTTTTATTAATTATAAATTTTTGTATAATAATGAATTTTGGCTATTGAAGCAGTAACACATTTGTTGGAGTGTATATATTAAAATCCGTTTATTAACAATTAATAGTATAATAGCATGAACGCTTTCTCAGTCGCGATTTCACCTTTGTAAAGTGTTGGTCGGGATGGCTGGTGCGGATATCCTTGATCAACATTGAGCGACGTTTTCTATCTAAGAAATTTGTAAGTGACTTTGTGTACATTATATTTATTCTGCGATTTTTAATTATTATCTTTTGAAATTTATTTTATTGTATTAATTTTATTAATTGTACTTCATCAATTGTAATTATACGTTCATTCATTGTAGAAATGCATTTGAAAAGGACCTAATACAAGGGTCGAAAGCGTTCGTGCTATTATACTATTAATTGTTAATAAACGGATTTTAATATATACACTCCAACAACAGTGTTACCGCTTCAATAGCCAAAATTCATTATTATTTAAAAATTCTTGAAGCTCCATATAATCATCGTTACATAAATTTTTGTGTATTTTGTGAGTTTTCTTTCAATGTAAAATTGTAATAACGTGTTAAATAACGCGTCAAATTGTTTCTAGGAAAGTACATATGCGACGGAGATACAGACTCGCGTAGCAGATACGCCGCGCCGCCATCTAATGCGGATTGACGACTTCCAGAGTGGGCGCCTCAATGGGAGAGTCAGCCTATTTAATATTGGTACTCGCTTAAAATCATTCACTGCCCATATCACACGATTATCGATTGTATACCGCTCATACGTTTGGATACGTGTTTGGGAAGTTTGTTGGATACCAAAGTGTGTGCGTTGACTTAAGGATCAAAAAAAAAAGAAAGATCTTTTTATAGAAATCATGTATCAAAGCGCGCACGCGCGCTTCGTTTGCGAGAAAAAAAAAAAGTGCAACAAAGCCGACCAAAGTAATTTATACGCTTATTCCTGCAAAAGATGAAAAATGTGGTCGTTTATTGTTTTTTCACGCATTTAATGCCGAACGTGGTTCTGTATATTCCAAGTCCAAGTGTTTGATTGAAAATCCATATTGTATTTTATCTCAGCGGAAACTTACAGTTATACAGAAAAAAAAAAAAAATGTAGAAGTAAGATATCTCTGCGCTGCGTTTGGCGTTAAATGCATTTCGACTTAAATACGTTACCGGTAGCAACAAACAATTTAATAAAGATCTGACTTCTGGTGTGTGAGTCTCGCATCAAGGCGCACTTTTGACGGCGTTAACGTGCGTTCTATGTGTTTTTATAACGTATATTTTTTTAATTTTCTACACATCGCATTAGAGTGTACTGTTTTAACGAAGTTTCTACGATACAACGCCATAATATAATCGACACGAATAAAATAAATCCTTCTATTCCGTCGAACAAGAGAATTTTCCCACAAATGAAAATTCTTTGGTGTCCAGCATTATTCTCTGACATGACAATTTAGCCATTCGCCATTTTTGATTCTCTCTCTACATAAATCAAAAAAAATGCGCATCGCGTAATTCTTTTCTTTCTCTTTTTTTTTCAATCTCGACCTCTCCCAAAACAGTACAACACTCTTATTGTTATGTTTTGCGTTATTTTTTAATACAAATAGTATATTAGCAATTATTATATATATATATAAATATATATATTGTTAACCGCATGAGAGCGGAGAAAAAGTGTAAAGGATGTGTAAACGCCGATTACGTATATATGTACATTTAGCATTTATATTTTAAACGGTAGGGGAGAAGGACATAATACTACGAGTATTTCAATGATGAGAAATTTGCGTACGCCCAGTTTTTTAGTTTATTTTCTTACGCATGACGAAGACGAGAGAGAGTATTTAAGTAGCGTTTTAATCGCGTGCGCGATTTAATGCAAATGAAACTGTCTTACCGTATATAAAATAATGAGAGAGAGAGAGAGAGTGAGAACGAAAGCAAAAAAAAAAAGTGAGAGAGAGAGAAAGAAAGAGAGAATAAAAGAAAAAAAAACAGAGGTTAAATCAACGAGATAATTTTTTAAACGTTAACACGTTTGACGTGCGAGACGAATCAAATATACTGGTTCTGTATTTTTGAACGTTTAAAAGCTATATATATAAAAACATTTTTGATGTCGATAACAGAACTCTAGTTTTAGATATAGGATAGTTTAACGGCGAACGAAAAGGAAAAAAGAGTCGTTTATCTTAAATATTTAAAACTACGAGATTCTTATTGTTAGTATTATTAAACGTATAAAAGTTTCTCTTCATCTATATTACAGTTGCGACGCGTTTTCGTTTTCTCATCTCGAAAGAATATCTTCTGTTACAATTTGTCAATCACACACTTGTTCACACATGTCACACGTTTAGTGCTTTATCTAGAGATTGGTTTTTAACCCGTTAATCTGATCAATTTTTAATTTGATGGTTTATAAATTGCGAAATATTTTTTAAACTAACGTGTTAAACCATTTTATATATACGATATACAGTGAAGTAAGTTTAAATAGAAATCAGATCCTCGGAGGGATATTATGTTCGATGAGAGCAATTTATTTTTTGTGGTTTAATATTTTTTAAATTTATTCATCAAAGCAATTATTAAGTCTTTATTATCAATTAATCAGTTGAAAATAATGAATATTATTTACGAATAATTTTCAAGTGGTTTTTCAATCACATGGAATATTTTAACAATTGACAATTAACAAGTTTTGTTTTTAATATCTTGCAAAAATACGTTGTGTCGTATTTTGGAAAATTATAAGTGATGACAATTAAATTTAAAAGTTTATTTAACAATATTTGTCATACACAAACAAACTGAATTCAAAAATAATTACTCACGTAATTATATCTTTGCTTAGAGCAATTGTATTACGATATATAGCATATTTTATTATTAACCCATTAAAGGCCAAAAGAGATATTGTAAAGAGAGGTTTTGTTGAAACCGGTTGTTTTTTAAAAAAAGACCTCAATCTCTAATAAATAACAAAACTTACGAAAGAGTGCAATATGTAGAATTATTTTTAATTGAAAATTGTAAGTACGTTACATAACGTTCGAAAATTAGATACGGGAAGATATTAAAAAAAAAAACTTATTTGAAAAATAATTTGTATTAAAATTTATACGTGTACACTTTTTTTTAATTGCAACAAAATGTCTGCGTTATAGGCATTAATGGGTTAAACAGCGATTTTTTTTTATTGGCAAAATTCTATTATGTATTTCTTGTAAACAAATTAACAGAATTTATTCTGTGCATATCATATATCTGTTTCTTCACAAAAATATCTTGTTATATCCGATCCGCTAATTCTGGGGAAAAAAAAAACCCAAAAAACTGCGGAATCGGTTTTTAATTGCGCGCGTATAATGAGTATATATGTACATATTTAAGATTTAAGATTATATAAATGTAAGTCTTGTAAGAGAAGTCTGACTTGAATCATACAGTCCGGCACACACACACACACACACAATGTTTTCTTCCATGGTTAGCGACATCGACAACAGAACGGCACTCGCTGTGTTTGGGTCTAAGAGAGTTCACTTCTTCTATACTCGAAGCTAATATTAATATTAATCGATAAACCCTAGGAAAAAAAAAGTTCGTTAGACAAACAGCTCGACAGTTGAAGAATCTAGTTTACGAAAGTTGACGGGGGCACTAAGATACGTCAAATACGTCTTTTTATTGTAATTAATTGCTTAACCAGGCGCGACGTATCATTTCTTATAATTTTGTTGCTTCGAAACAAAAAAAAAAAAAACAAAAAAACAGAAAAAAAAAACAAAAAAAAATGTACGATCAATAAGAGATTATTATGACTGTCAGCGTTCCTGCAATACTCTTTATGCCTTTCTCTGCGACGCCTACTCAAGAACGTTACTTTCTGCTGATTGTTTTATTTTCTTATTTTGTCTTAATTGTAATCTCTCTCTCTCGCCAGAGAAAGGTATTATCAAGGTCTATAACGAAGAGCAATATGAGAACATCTGTAATACCATACGACGAAATTTCAAGTGACCACTCCATTCCTGGAGATTCTGACCGCAAGAGATTAAATCATCTCTCTCGATGATTGATATATATATATACAGGGTGTCCCAGAATAGCCGTACAATCTCTCGTAGGCAGATAGAAGGAATAAAACTGAGTCGAAAAGTCCTGAATCATTTTTTTCTATTATTTATAATAAAGGAGTAATTATTGAGTAAAGCGGGCCAATCAGCGCAGACCTTTA